TCTTGGACACTGGGGCACCACTTCAGATTTGGGCCTTGGACCCTGAAGGGGTTAAGGTAAGTAATGAGTGCACTATGTGTGTATTGTAATTTTTTATTGTTTTTTGATGCCTGGTTGTATTGCTAACTTAATATATGTTAGTGTAAACTTGTTATTTAGCATTTGTATGCATTTATAAGTGGAAAAAAAGGGTGTTCCACTTTACGGCGATTTCCGTTTTACGGCAGTAGCCTGGAACCTAACCTGCCGTATAAGTGGGGCCCTACTGTACATGTACTTGTAACATCTGCCACATTGCTTTCCTATCCACTCTATCATATGCCTTTCCTAAATCCATAAATGCAATAAAATCTTCCCTTTATCTAAATACTGTTCACATATATTCTTCAATGTAAACACTTGATCTACACATCCCCTACCCACTCTAAAACCTCCTAGCTCATCCGCAATCCTACATTCTGTCTTACCTCTAATTCTTTCAATAATAACCCTACTGTACACTTTTCCTGGTATACTCAGTAAACTTATTCCTCTATAATTTTTACAATCTCTTTTGTCTCCCTTTTATATAAAGGAACTATACATGCTCTCTGTCAATCCCTAGGTACCTTCCCCTCTTTTCAAACATTTATTAAACAAAAATACCAACCACTCCAACACTATATCCCCCATGCTCTTAAGATTTCTGTCATGATCCCGTCAGTTCCAGCTGCTTTACTCCCTTTCATTCTACATATTGCCTCACGCACCTCCCCCACACTCAAATCCTGCTCTTCTTCACTCCTACACGATGGTATACCTCCCTAGCCAGTGCATGAAAGTACCGCTTCCCTTTCTTTGTCAACATTTCAGTTCCTCAAAATATTCTCACCATCTTCCCAATACTTCTGTCTCCCCATGTACTAACTCCCCTACTCTGTTTTTAACTGACATATCCATTCGTTCCCTAGGCTTTCTTAACTTGTTTAACTCGCTCCAAAATTTTTTTCTTATTTTCATTAAAATTTCTAGACAGTGCCTTTCCCACTCTATCACCTGCTCTCCTTTTGCACTCTCTCACCACCATCTTCACCTTTCTTTTACTCTCCATATACTCTACTTTTCGTATAACACTTCTGCTTTGAAAAAACCTCCCATAAGCTACCTTTTTCTCTTTGATCACACACTTTACTTCATCATTCCACCAATCACTCCTGTTTCCTCCTGCACTCACCCTCCTATAACCACAAACTTCTGCCCCACATTGTAATACTGCATATTTAAAACTATGCCAATCCTCTTCAACCCCCCCACTACTCAAACTTGCACTATCCCACCTTTCTGCCAATAGTTGCTTATATCTCACCTGAATTTCCTCCTCCCTAAGTTTATACACTTTCACCTCCCTCTTACTTGTTGTTGTCATTTTCCTCTTGTCCAATCTACTTCATACTCTAACTGTAGCTACAAGTAAATAATGATCCGATATATCAGTTGCCCCTCTATAAACGTGTACATCCTGGAGCCTACCCATCAGCCTTTTATCCACCAATACACAATCTAATAAACTACTTCCATTACGTGTTATATCATACCATGTATATTTATTTATCCTCTTTTTCATAAAATATGTATTACTAAATACCAAACCTCTTTCTACACACAGCTCAATTAAAGGCTCCCCATTTACATTTACCCCAGGCACCCCAAATTTACCTACTATTCCCTCCACAACATTTTTACCCACTTTAGTACTGAAATCCCCAACCACAAGTACTCTCACACTTGGTTCAAAACTCCCCATGCATTTACTCAACATTTCCCAAAATCTCTCTCTCTCTCCTCTACACTTCTCTCTTCTCCAGGTGTATATACGCTTACTATAACCCACTTTTCATATCCAACCTTTATTTTACTCCACATAATCCTTGAATTAATACATTTATAGTCCCTCTTTTCCTTCCATAGCTTATCCTTCAACATTATTACTACTCTTTCTTAAGCTCTAACTCTATTTGAAACCCCTGACCTAATCCCATTTATTCCTCTCCACTGAAACTCTCCCACCCCATTCAGCTTTGTTTCACTTAAAGCCAGGACATCCAGCTTCTTCTCATTCATAACATCCACAATCATCTCTTTCTTATCATCCGCACAACATCCACGCACAGACATCCCACTTTTTTTGACAATTTTCTTCTTCTTACTTTTAGTAATTATTACAGGAAAAGGGGTTACTAGCCCATTGTTCCCAGCATTTTAGTTGACTTTTACAACACGCATGGCTTACGGAGGAAAGATTCTTATTCCACTTCCCCATGGATATAAAAGGAAAAGTAATAAGAACAAGAACTATTAAGATAAAATCAAAGAAAACTCAGATGAGTGTGTACATAAGCGTGTACATGTATGTGTAATGTGATCTAAGTATAAGTAGAAGTAGCAAGACGTACTTGTAATCTAGCATATTTATGAAACAGACAAAAGACACCAGCAATCCTACCATCAAGTAGAACAATTACAGGCTTTCATTTTACATTCACTTGGTAGGACAGTAGTACCTCCCTGGGTGGTTGCTGTCTACCAACCTACTACATGCAGTGTGTGCACAGTATAAAAAAAAACCCTGCAGCAAGCAGTGCATAATGAGAAAAAAAAAAACTCCGACCGTGTCTTTGGATTAAAACGCCGACTTTGAGGTGTATTTTCGTATAGCTTTTATAGCTATGTTGTCGTTTTCGTAGTCACATAGAATGGAAAACATATTATAGAAATGGAGGTTATTTTGATTGGTTTTCCTATGAAAAGGACCTTGAACTGGAGCTCAAAGTAGGGGGAACTGTTTGATTTTTGCCGATGTTCAAGAGTAAAGAAATGACGTCACTGTCCAATAAATGTCCAACTAGCCATTCTAATATGCAGTCATGAATGGGCTGACATTATTTATGCAATTATTACAATATTGCAATAGTCTGCATAGCAGTAAATCTTCTATTTTTTGTTTGAATAAAAATTCAAAATAGAAAGCAAGAGTAATATCAGAGGGGCCTGGAGACGTGACTGATGAACAAAAAAAATATTATTTTAGAGCCAGGAATGTCTGCATTGTTCATTCTGGACCCTATTTTGAAATTAGCATATTTTTTAATTTGTGTGAAATTGGCCAAATTGCCAATTTCTGACCGCTTTATTGGGTAGTAGAAATCGGTAAATAGGCAATGTCTTGTACTCAATCGATAGAACAAATGGAGTTCTCAAGAAATAGCTATGAGTTTGGTCAACTGGAACAATGGAATTAGCCAAAAGTAGGGCTCAAAGTGGGCAAAATAGCCGATTCGTAAATATCGCCGAGGTCGCTAACTTCGCGAGAGCGTAATTCCATAAGTTTTCCATCAAATTTCATACTTTTGGTGTCATTATTATCGGAAAAGATTCTCTATCTTTTCATAAGAATTTTTTTTTTTTTTTTTAAATTTCGGCGACCCTGAGAACAAGTCTCGGAGAGGGCCTGGCAACCCTGAAAAGGCTAAGGAATGGAGAGAATTGTTGAGAATAGAAAGATTGGAAATATAGGGAAGGCAGAGGACAGAAGAGTTCCTAGGAGTAGAGAGTTTGGAGAGAAGAAAGTCCGTTTAGCACGTGAGAAGGCAGAGTATGAAATGGGAAGGGTAGCCAAGACGATAAAATGAATTATGAAGAGTGGAAATTTCTTTTTCAAGGAACTGAGGATCACAAATGTGGAGAGCATGGAGACAGAAAGAAATAAGAACACTTTTCTTGACAAATGAAGCATGTTAAGTAGTGAATGTACACGCCACTGCATGGGCTTGTGGCACACAAAAAAAGCAAAACCTTTATGTACATTCTCTGCTTTTCTTATCATGCTTCCTGTCAAGAAAAGTGTTCTTATTTCTCTCTATCTCCATGCTCTCCACATTTGTGATCCTCAGTTCCTTGAATAAGAAATTTCCACTCTTTGTAATTCATTTTCTCGTCTTGGCTACCCTTCCCATTTCATAGACTCTGCCTTCTCATGTGCTAAACAGACTTTCTTCTCTCCCAAACTCTCTACTCCTGGGAACTCTCCTGTCCTCTGCCTTCCCTGTATTTCCAATCTTTCTAATCTCAACAATTCTCTTCGTTCCTTAGAATCAAACTTACTTTTCATCAGACTCACACTCTCTTCACCAATCTAGTTCATACATCTCCTCCCTCTATAGATGCTCCTGGTGTCTACTCTATTTCCTGTTCCTCTTGTCCTCTTGAGTACTTTGGAGAAAGTGGCCGTTCTCTTTCTGACAGACTCAAGGAGCACAAAAGTAGTGCAAGGCTTGCCGACACCAACAATGCTCTTTTTTGTCATGTCAGAGATCACAGTCGTCCTAGTAACTGGCCTTCTGATAAAACTGTCTACCCCACTTCTAACCTTCACAGTCGCCATCTGGTTGAATCCTCTCTTATACACAACCTACCTTCTATGATCTTAGTCCTGGCTTTGTCTCTGTAGATGCCTTCTTTTCCCATTACACTGTAAAATGCTCCAAACTTCAGAACACTCATGACTTAACATGATTCTTTTTTCTCCTTCTCCTTCTTCTTCTTCCCATTTCCTCTTTCTCCTTTGGGTTTTCTTTCTTCTGCCTTGGGTGTTTGGTCCATTATTATTTTTTAAATCTCTGTGTTTTTGTTCCGACCCTTCATTGACTCCTAGCTCCCTTGCAGTGCTCCTCTTTCTTAATCTTCGACTGACTCCACCACCATTACTACTACTACCTCTTTTCTTCCTTTCCTACTACCTCTCTTGTCCTCTCCCTGTCTGCTGGCCTATATAAACTCCCTCATTCTCTCCTTTCTGTGAGTGTGACTTTGTAAATGGTCCAAGTCAGACAGAAATGTTGTTGTAAGCTCCCCTCTCCTATATGCAGGTTATTTGTGTAAGAAAGCTTTTATAAACTTTACAGAACTACTATCATGTTCAGATGAGCAATAACCAAGCATCCAGCAGAACTGGAAGAGCTTACCTCAGTTGCATAGATATTGTTTGACAGAGGAGGAGCATTCCAAGCCATAATAGGGACACCCTGCATTTGAATATGGATGTCATATAGACCCTGGAATATTTTCATGGGTTAAATATTAGGGTTGTGTTACCAATCAGCACCATTAATTCATGTTTCAAAATATTCAATACAGCATTTATAAAAGTTAAGAAGAGTTAAAAGTAACTGAATAAACAAGCTAAATAAAATCAGTCCATACAATTCTAACATTTTTTCATGGACCTATGAGGCAATTTTACAAACCTCTGTAAAGAAATCTCCAACCCATTTAGCTACCATAAGAACAATCATCAGAGGTAAGCCAAATGTTATGTTACCCACACACTCCATTAGGATTACAGTCAAACTTAGAGTCATCCGTACAACACCGCCAAGCATGGCTCCAGCTCCAACCAGCGCGTATTTACCTTCATCTGGCCATTGCTGAAAGAAGGTCCTATATATAATTTTACCATATTTTAAGTTTAGCCCTGTATCAGGCATGAATGTTATGCAGAGGGTCCCGAGTACAAAAATTAAAAAATAGTGTGGGGTCACTATCAGAGTGCTGAGGAATGGTGAGGTGGTTTGCACATTTAAAGAAGAAGCAAAATAGGATGACTTGAGGGTATATAAATCTGTAGTGAAGGAAGGGCAGGGTAGGGGGTCACCCTTGGAAATGTTGGAGAGAAGGGGGTACAAAAGGTTTTGTGTGCTAGAGGCTTCAACATTCAGCAAGGAGTATGAGAATGTGTTAGATGGGAGTGAGTAGAAGCAAATGGTTTTTGGGATCTGACAAAGTGTTGGAGTGTGAATAAGGTAACCTTCTATGAAGAGATTCAGGGAAACCAGTTACCTGGACTTGTCCTGGAGGTGAGAAGTACAGTGCCTGCACTCTAAAGGAGGGGTAGGGATATTTGCAGTGTTGAAGGGACACCTGAACTGTAGTATCTACTCGCCTCTGACAAGACAGTGATAAAGTGAATGATGGTGAAAGTGTTTCTTTTTTTTGGGTCATCCTGTCTCAGTGGGAGATGGCCAGTGTGATAAAAAAAAAAGGGGGAAAAGCAAAATGATGGTGCAATCATTGAATGATGGTAAAAGTTTCTTTTTTTTAGGGGGGGGGGGAGGAGGTCACCCTGCCTTGGTGGGAGATGGCCAACGTATTGACGTATTGGCAGTTTGGAGGGATATGTTGTATATCTTTATATATGCTTCTAAACTGTTGTATCTGGGTGCCTCTACAAAAACAGTGATCATGTATGATTGAGGTGAAAGTGTTGAATGATGATGAAAGTATTTTCTTTTTGAGGATTTTCTTTCTTTTTGGGCCACCCTGCCTCAGTGGGAGATGGCCGACTTGTTGAGGGGGAAAAAAAAAACACTATACAAGTTTACAAATAAAATAGTTCCATTTTATGGGCTACAATGAGACAGAAAATTAAAACAATTAACTATGTGATAAACAAAAGAATACAATGGTGAACAACCTGATCAGGAAAGAAGAGTGACATGAGCTTTCCAACAAGCCGACCCCAAGCTGCTCCACACAGCAGAGTTGGGATAAAAACTCCAGAAGGAATTCCCAGGCCATACGTCCAACATGCCAAGAAGAAGTAACACACAAAGAACACACCTATGGTTGACCATTGATATGAGTCTATGAAAAATAAAAGAAAAGTAAATTATTAACAAAGGAATGTCAAAATATATACAGTATTGTACATGGTACATGATTATTGATACCAATCTGATAATTATCATTATCTTAAGTTATTCAAGATAATTTCACAATAACATTGTGTAATGATGTTGATTTCAGTATGTTTGAGGTTCTTGATAATATGATGTCAGAAGTCTTATGAGAGGAATTCCCTTTTTAATTTTGGGGAAAGAGCAGTGTCCTCAGGCCCAGTGTTTCAAGAGAATAATAGCATCAAATGATTTTGTCAGAACTGGTTAGCATTTTGTAAAGTTGTCTGCTCCTCATATCAGTGTAATAACCCGAGTGTAATATTAGTCTATTTGATTAGCTAATATACTTTTATATCCTGACGATCTGTTGGAGTGTGAGCAGGGTAATATTTAGTGAAGGGATTCAGGGAAACCGGTTATTTTCATATAGTCGGACTTGAGTCCTGGAAATGGGAAGTACAATGCCTGCACTTTAAAGGAGGGGTTTGGGATATTGGCAGTTTGGAGGGATATGTGGTGTATCTTTATACGTATATGCTTCTAAACTGTTGTATTCTGAGCACCTCTGCAAAAACAGTGATAATGTGTGAGTGTGGTGAAAGTGTTGAATGATGATGAAAGCATTTTCTTTCTGGGGATTTTCTTTCTTTTTTTGGGTCACCCTGCCTCGGTGGGAGACGGCCGACTTGTTGAAAAAAAAAAAATTTTATGTTGATTAAGTATACTCTTATTACTGAACATTCCTACATAGGCTCCCTATTGAGAACAAACAACTTTCCTTCTTGAATTTATATGTGTTGTTTTCCCCTTTCTCTTTCCTTCACATTTGTTGGAGTTTATGTGGTTTAGTTATCTCTACCAGCCATTCAGGAGTACCACTCATCTCTCACCTCAACCTGTCTCACCTGCTAACCATCATCCTATTCAGCCTTGAATGATGCACACCTCATTTGCTCCCTTACACACAGCCTGTCTACTCTCTCATAATTACACTTCCCTCAAGCACATTCTTCCAAATATGACACTTAACCCTGTCAGGGTGGGTCCCGTAATACTACAGCTTTGAAGCATGGGTTGGTCCCCGTGCTCTACGTGACAAGCTCAGCTCACTCAAACTGTGAGCGGTAAATTTGGGTCTAGTTATGAGTGAATGGGTCTATGTGGTAAGTGTGTACCATATAAAAAAAATCCTGCAGCATGCAATACATAATGGAAAAAAACTGCTACTATGTTTTTGGTTTAAAACAGCAACTTTGCAGTGTATTTTCATAAGATTTTTATGGTTGTATTTTTGGTTTCTTGGTCTCATTTGATAGAACAGAAAATATATTACAGAAGTAGATATGATTTTGACTGGTTTCAGGACTGTCAGTAGCTTGAAATTGAGCTCAAATTAGCAGAAATGTTCGATTATTGCCAATATTCCAAAGTACACAAATTGCGTCATTCTTCCAATATACATCCAATTGGTCAGTCTAATACGTATTCACCAATGTGGTGACATTATTTACACAATTACAATAATGCAGTAATTAGTCTGCATAACACTAAATTTTCTATTTTTTGTCTGAATAAAAATTCAAAATGGAAAGTAAGCATAATATAAGAGAGGCCTAGGGACGTAACTAATGAACAGTGGAAATGTTTTTTAGTGCCAGAAATGTCTACATTGTTTATTCTGGACCCTATTTTGAAATTGCAAATTTTTGAATTTTGTGTTAAAGTGGCCAAATTACTGATTTCTGATCACTTTACTGGGTAACTGAAATACGTAAATAGGCAGTGTCTTGTGCTCATTTCATAGAATAGAAGGAATACTAGCGAAATAGCTACAAATCTGGCTGACTGTAACAATGAAATTGGGCAAAAATAGGGCTCAAATTGGGTGAAATTGCCAATATGTAAATATTGCAGAGACCGCTAGCTTTGCGAAAGCGTAATTCCGCAAGTTTTCCATTAAATTTCATACTTCTGGTTTCATTACCTTTGGAAAAAGATTCTTATCATTTTATGAGAAAAAAATATTTTTTCCTTTGAAATTTTTTTGACCCTGTGAGCAAGTTTGTTGACCCTGAAAGGGTTAACAAGTACATGCAGTATTATGATCAGCATTAGAGCAGTATTAATTCCATTGTACTGAGATGGTTGGATTACTGACAAGAAATAAATCTAGTGTGCTCTAACTGCTGATGAAAGTAACACTTCTGGCAGAAGAATGTATCTCTTGATCTTATGCCTAAGTCAAGTAACATGAAACATTTCCAACAGGATGAGCGTGATGAAAGTGATAATCAACACAAGTGAGGAAAGGAGAATGCCAACTGTCTTCTGGACAATCTACTTGACTTCGAACGAATGCTGATTTTCAAATTCAAACGAAAAATACTGGCACAGATGAAGACAGGAAGTGTGGGTAAATAGAGCCACCAAATGCAGAATTGTAAAGATTTTAAAAATAAGTCAACGGTATGCTTATTATATACTTAAGAATGGAGAGTTAATAATATTTATAAGATGCCTGAGAATCTGAGAACTGGATACTTAGGTATTATTTTAAAAGTGTTAATACTATTTATGAGTACAGTATAATTGGGTTGATTAAAATTCCAATTATCAATAATATTTTTACATTTACACCAATCCCAGGTGTCAAGAATGACATGAATATACAGCCTTTAAAACAATAGTGGCAATGATGCATTAAAGTCCATAACCAGCAGCCATATTACATTTAACTACAGCATTTTTTCCATTACTGCTTCATATCTGAACAACATGATATACAGGGGTCATCAAATTATCCCTTATCAATTTTACTAAACTGTCCTGTACAATATGTACCAGAATACTGTACAATATGCAACAGAACACTGTACAATATATACCAGAACACTGTACAATATGTACCAGAACACAGGATATGTATAAGAGGTGAGAGACTCTCAGTATATGCAAATTGATTTAATTCCTATTGCAGAAATTAAGGCATTCTTTAGAATAGTCTACAGGTGAAATACAGCCTTATGACACACCTCAGTCGATAGGTTTATAAATAAACTAATTACATAGTCATAAATGTCTTTTAAATTATTATTCTCAAGTGTACCGTTCTGTAAAAAATTGTAAACATGTGCTTGATACTAACCTGGGGGATCATGAAACAAAGATCTCACACTTTTCTCAGGAGTTTGAAACCATATTGATGCAGCTGCATTTTCTTCACCATAACCACAAAACATCTGGAGAAAAGATTATAAAATATTCTCTATAACAAGGGAATGATATAAAATTTTAAAGTATGAATTAAATGAATAGGTTATGCTTCTTGTTACTATCTTTTGCAAAATAATTTGTATGTATTTGTATATAATTATAAATCAGTAGAGTAAATTATAATTTATGTTGAATTATTTCTTCATCTATTAAAATGCTGGGGCAAGGAGGAGGATGGAGGCAGTGGAAATGTTATGTTTGAGAGCAATCTGTGATGTGAATTATATACCAAGCAATTATAAGATAGAGTGAGGGTTATCAAGGTGTAACTCAGAGGGCTGAGGAAGTGTTCTTGAGGTGGCTTGGGCACCGAGAAAGGACAGAGCAGAAAAGGATGACGAGGAAGGTTTATAAATCTGGAGTGGAAGGAAGGAGAGATAGGATTCTGAGGCTCTGAGTGCTAGGGGCTTGAGTATCTAGCAGGCTTGTGCAAGCATATTAGTACAGAGTAAATGAAGAAGAATTTTTTTTTTTGGCTTGATGTGCTGTTGGAGTGTGAGAAAGGTAACATTTAAGAATGGATTTAGGAACAGACAGTTAGCCAGATTTGAGTTCTGAAAGTGGGAAGTATAAAGTCTACACTCTAAAGGAGGGCTGTTGTTATTATACTTTATAGAGTTATTGGAACTGTGATGTCCACAAACTTCTGGCAAAACAGCTACTGAATGAGTGATGGTAAATGTACTTCCTTTCTTTTGGACCACTCTACCTCAGTGGGAGACAGCCACTATGTTAAAACTCTAGTATGGTATTATGATCATGCTAAAAACAAATCTTACTTTTCAAGCTTATATGTTATACTAATTTCAAGATCCAAATAATATTTGTTATTGAGAGAATGTATAAAATCCATTAAATATAACTTAGTTCAATATACAATGATTATGAAACATTCACTTCATTAATGCATACTTGGTTACAAAAAAATAAACAGCCACTGTTACCTGGTAAGCAGGTTATATAACCCAACCTATATTAGAATACTCTGTTTTGAGGTTCTTAGCCCTTCCAGGGTTCAGACCCCAATCTGAAATTTGTCCACAGGGTCCACGAATTTTCCAAAAAAAAAAAAAAAAAAATCTTATGAAATGATAAAGAATCTTTTCTTGAAAGAATAAAACAAAAAATACAAAAACTGATGGAAAACTGGCAAAATTACACTTACGTACAGTACAGTACAGTACAGTATAGTATAGTACAGTACAGTATAGTATAGTACAGTACAGTATAGTATAGTATAGTAAAGTATAATATAGTATAGTATTAGTATAGTATTAGTATAGTATAGTAGGTTGGTAGACAGCAACCACCCAGGGAGGTACTACCATCCTGCCAAGTGAGTTTAAAAATGAAGCCTGTATTTGTTTTACATGATATTAGGGTTGCTGGTGTCTTTTTTGTCTCATAAACATGCAAGATTTCAGGTACATCTTACTACTTCTAAGTACACTTAGGTCACACTACACATACATGTACATGTTTATGTATACACACTCATCTGAGTTTTCTTTGATTTGTCTTAATACTTGTTCTTATTGCTTTTCTTTCATATCCATGGGGAAGTGGAATAAGAATCTTTCCTCCGTAAACCATGCGTGTTGTAAAAGTCAACTAAATTGCCGGGAACAATGGGCTAGTAACCCCTTTTCCCGTATAACCTAATAAAAAGAAAAAGAAGAAAACCGTCAAAGTGGGATGTCTGAATGTGCGTGGATGTTGTGCGAATGATAAAAAAAAGAGATGATTGTAATGTTATGAATGAGAAGAAGCTGGATGTCCTGGCTTTAAGTGAAACAAAGCTGAAGGGGGTGGGAGAGTTTCAGAGGGGAGAAATAAATGGGATTAGGTCAAGGGTTTCAAATAGAGTTAGAGCTAAAGAAGGAGTAGCAATAATGTTGAAGGATAAGTTATGGCAGGAATAGAAGGAATATAAATGTATAAATTCAAAGATTATGTGGAGTAAAATAAGGGTTGGCTGTGAAAAGTGGGTTATACCAAGTGTTTATACACCTGGAGAAGAGTGAAGTGTAGAGGAGAGAGAAAGATTTTGGGAAATGTTTAGTTAGTGTGTGGGGAGTTTTGAACCTATTGAGAGAGTACTTGTGGTTGAGGATCTCAATGCTAAACTGGGTAAAAATGCTGTGGAGGAAGTAGTAGGTAAATTTGCAGTGCCAGGGGTAAATGAAAATGGGGAACCTTTAATTGAGTTGTGTAGAAAGAGGTTTGGTAATAAGTAATACATATTTTATGAAAAAGAGGATAAATAAGTATACAAGGTATGCTACAGCACAATGAAAGCAGTTTGTTAGATTATGTATTGGTGGATAAAAGGTTGATGGGTAAGCTTCAGGATGTACACGTTTATGGAGGGGGAACTGATATATCGGATCGTTATTTAGTTGTAGATACAGTTAGAGTAATAGGTAGATGGGACAAAAGGAAAATGGCACAAGTAAGAGAGGTGAAAGTGTATAAAGTAAGGGAAGTTAGGGTGAGATATAAGCAACTATTGGCAGAAAGGTGGGCTGGTGCAAATATGAGTAGAAAGGGGATTGGGGGGGGGGGTCGAAGGGGGTTGGAATAGTTTTAAAAATGCAGTATTAGAATGTGGGGCAGAAGTTTGTGGTTATAGGAAGGTGGGTGCAGAGGGAAAGATGAGTGACTGGTGGAATGAAGTAAAGGGTGTGATAAAAGAGAAAAAGATAGCTTATGAGAGGTTTTTACAAAGCAACAGTACTATAAGAAGAGCAGAGTATGTACAGAGTAAAAGAAAGGTGAAGAGAGTAGTGAGAGATTGCAAAAGGAGAGCAGATGTCAGAGTGGGAGAAGCACTGTCAAGAAATTTGGCAGAAAATAAGACAAAAAAAATTGGAGTGAGATAAACAAGAAACCTAGGGAATGAATGGATTTGTCAGTTAAAAACAGAGTAGGGGAGTTAGTAGATGAGGAGCTGGAGGTATTGGGTAGATGGCAGGAATATTTTGAGGAACTTTTCAATGTCGATGAAGAAAGGGAGGCAGAAATTTCATGCACTGGTCAGGGAGGTATAACATCTTTTAGGAGTGAAGAAGAGCAGAATGTGAGTGTCTGGGAGGTGCGTGAGGCATTATGAAGAATGAAAGAGGGTAAAGCAGCTGGAACTTATGGGATCATGACAGAAATGTTAAAATCAGGGGGGATATAGCATTGGAGTGGTTGGTATTTTTGTTTAATAAATGTATGAAAGAGGGGAAGGTACCTAGCGATTGGCAGAGAGCATGCATAGTTCCTTTATATAAAGGGAAGGGGGACCAAAGAGATTGTAAAATTTATAGGGGAATAAGTTTACTAAGTTGTAGGTAGTAGGTTGGTAGACAGCAACCGCCCAGGGAAGTACTACCGTCCTGCCAAGCGAGTGTAAAACGAAAGCCTGTAATTGTTTTACATGATGGTAGGATTGCTGGTGTCCATTTTTCGTCTCATAAACATGCAAGGTTTCAGGTACGTCTTGCTACTTCTACTTACACTTCGGTCACACTACACATACAGGTACAAGCATATACAGTGGACCCCCGGTTAACGATATTTTTTCACTCCAGAAGTATGTTCAGGTGCCAGTACTGACCGAATTTGTTCCCATAAGGAATATTGTGAAGTAGATTAGTCCATTTCAGACCCCCAAACATACACGTACAAACGCACTTACATAAATACACTTACATAATTGGTCGCATTCGGAGGTGATTGTTATGCGGGGGTCCACTGTATGTATATACACACCCCTCTGGGTTTTCTTCCATTTTTCTTACTAGTTTTTGTTCTTGTTTATTTCCTCTTACCTCCATGGGGAAGTGGAACAGAATTCTTCCTCTGTAAGCCATGCGTGTTGTAAGAGGCGACTAAAATGCCGGAAGCAAGGGGCTTGTAACCTCTTCTCATGTATATATTACTAAATGTAAAAGGAGAAACTTTCGTTTTTCCTTTTGGGCCACCCCACCTCGGTGGGATATGGCCGGTGTGTTGAAAGAAAGAAAGAAAGTTTACTAAGTTGTAGGTAGTAGGTTGGTAGACAGCAACCGCCCAGGGAAGTACTACCGTCCTGCCAAGTGAGTGTAAAACGAAAGCCTGTAATTGTTTTACATGATGGTAGGATTGCTGGTGTCCATTTTTCTGTCTCATAAACATGCAAGGTTTCAGGTACATCTTGCTACTTCTACTTACACTTCGGTCACACTACACATACATGTACAAGCATATATATACACACCCTTCTGGGTTTTCTTATATTTTCTTACTAGTTCTTGTTAATTTTCTCTTACCTACATGGGGAAGTAGAACAGAATTCTTCCTCCGTAAGCCATGAGTGTTGTAAGAGGTGACTAAAATGCCAGGAGCAAGGGGCTAGTAACCCCTTCTCCTGTATATATTAATAAATGTAAAAAGAGAAACTTTAGTTTTTTCTTTTGGGCCACCCCGCCTCGGTGGGATACGGCTGGTATGTTGAAAGAAGAAAAGAAGAAAAAGAGAAATTTCATTTTTCCTTTTGGGCCACCCTACCTCAGTGGGATACGGCCAGTGCGTTGAAAGAAAGAAGAAGTTTACTAAGTATACCAGGAAAAGTGTACGGTAGGGTTATTATTGAGAGAATTAGAGGTAAGACAAAGTAGGATTGCAGATGAGCAAGGAGGCTTTAGAGTGGGTAGGGGATGTGTATATCTAAGTGTTTCCACTGAAGCATATATGTGAACAGTATTTTGATAAAGGTAGAGAAGTTTTCATTGCATTTATGGATTTAGAAAAGGCATATGATAGAGTGGATAGCAGAGCAATGTGGCAGATGTTGCAAGTATATGGAATAGGTAGTGAGTTACTAAATGCTTCAAAGAGTTTTTATGAGGATAGTGAGGCTCAAGGTTAGGGTGTGTAGGAGAGAGGGAGATTACTTTCCAGTAAAAGTAGGTCTTAGACAGGGATGTGTAATGTTATCATGGTTGTTTAATATATTTATAGATGGGGTTGTGAAGGAGGTAAATGCTAGGGTGTTGGGGAGAGGGGGTGGGATTAAATTATGGGGAATCTAGTACAAAATGGGAGTTGATGCAGTTACTTTTGCTGATGATACTGTGCTTATGGGAGATTCTAAAGAAAAGTTGCAAAGGTTTGTGAACGAGTTTTGGGAGGGTGTGTAAAGGTAGAAAGTTGAAAGTGAACATAGATAAGAGTAAGGTGATGAGGGTATCAAATGATTTAGATAAAGAAAAATTGGATATTACAGTGGAGAGAAGAAATATGAAAGAAGTGAATGTTTTCAGATAGTACTTGGGAGTTGACGTGTCAGCGGATGGGTTTATGAATGATGAGGTTAACCACAGAATTGATGAAGGAAAAATGGTGAGTGGTGTATTGAGGTATGTGTGAAGACAAAAAACATTATCTATGGAGGCAAAGAAGGGAATGCATGAAAGTATAGTGGTACCAACACTCTTTATGTGGATGTGAAGCTTCGGTTGTAAATGCTGCAGCGAGGAGGCGGTTGGAGGCAGTTAGATGTCCTGTGGTGTAAATATTATGCAGAGATTTCATAGTGTGGAAATTAGGAGAAGGTGTGGAGTTAATAAAAGTATTAGTCAGAAGGCTGAAGAGGGGTTGTTGAGGTGGTTTGGTCATTTAGAGAGAATGTATCAAAGCAGAATGACATGGAGAGTGTATAAATCTGTAAGGGAAGGAAGGCGGGGTAGGGGTCGTCCTCGATAAGGTTGGAGGGAGGGGGTAAAGCAGGTTTTGTGGGCGAGAGGCTTGGACTTCCAGCAAGCATGCGTGAGCGTGTTAGATAGGAGTGAATGAAGATGAATGTTTTTTGGGACCTGACGAACTGATGGAGTGTGAGCAAGGTAATACACCTACCATCCGACTTATGACCAAGTTCGGTTCCGAGAAACCGGTCCTAAGTCGAACTTTACTACTGAATATCAACATAACATTTTTGTAATGGCTTTATTTTATTGTTTTATTTTGGTATTTCATGTTTTACTTTACTTTTTATGCTCTTAGTACTGTATTTTATACTGTAAGGTTTAGGATAAACACTGTGTACAACACAAATAGTTGTTTATTTCCCAGAAGTTTGGCATAAAAAACATGGTCGTAAGTCGAGTGGTCGTAAGTCGAGTGGTCGTAAGTCGAGTGGTCGTAAGTCGAGTGGTCGTAAGTCGAGCAGGTCGTAAGTCGGATGGTAGGTGTATGTAGTGATGGGATTCAGGGAAACTGGTTATTTTTATATAGCTAGACTTGAGTACTGGAAATGGGAAGTACACTGCCTACACTTTAAAGGAGGGGTTTGGGATATTGGCAGTTTGGAGGGATATGTTATATATCTTTATATATGCTTCTAAATTGTTGTATCTAGGTGCCTCTGCAAAGGCAGTGATTATGTATGAGTGAGGTGAAAGTGTTGAATGATGATTAAAGTATTTTCTTTCTTTTTGGGTCACCCTGCCTCGGTGGGAGACCGCCGACTTGTTAAAAAAGAAAAAAAGTATACGACTTTTGCTGCGTCAGTGATATTTATGCCTCAGCGATTCTGCCCACTTTAAGTCCTATTTTAGGCCAATTACAATGTTCCAGTTGACCAAATTCTTAGCTATTTCATTAGTATGCCTTCCATTTTATTGGCTGAGCACATAAAACCGTCCAATCAACTATAGGGTCCAGAATGAACAATGCAGGCATTCCTGGCACTAAAATAACATTCCCTCTATTCATTAATTACATTTCCAGGCTTTACACATGAATGCCAGTTTGATTTTTTATTCAGACAATTTTTATTCACACCAAACAGTAAGAGATTTACTGTTATACAATATTGGAATAATTGCATAAGTAATATCAGCACATTTGTGAAAGTATATTAGACCTGCCAGCTGATGTATTGGATGTGTGGTGTGATTTCTTTACTCTTGAACATCGGCAAAAATGAAACAGTTCCGCTACTCTGAGCTGAATTTCAAGCTATTTTCAATCCTAAAACCAATCAAAATCATCTCCATTTCTGTAATATATCTTCCATTCTATCAAACAAGACCAAGAAACCATGAAAATTATAGAAAAATACACCGCAAAATCAGTTTTAAACCAAAAACACGGTCACAGTTTTGTTTTCTCATTATGCACTGTGTGCCACAGGAATTTTTTTTATATAGTGCACATTTACCACACAGACCCATTCTCTCATATCAAGACCCAAATTTACCGCTCACAGCTTATCTGAGTGAGCTGAGCTCATGGCTCAGCTCACTCAGATAAGCTTCAAAGCTGTAGAACTATGGCATGGACACAAAGGGTTAATGATTACAGAAGCAATTATTCTGCTGTTAATTTAAATTTTAAAGAATAATTTGTCTTTTATTTTACTTGATGATTGCATTGAAGCAATGAATAATTTGTACTACCAGTATGATTTTTACATTTCTGCAGAAAATGTAACAAGCTACTGAGTAATTCAGGTCAAATTCATATTATAGTACTACAAGACTTCTTTTTTATACCTCAATGGCTGTCTCCTGCCACAGCAGGGTGACCCAAAGAAAAAAACCATTCATCATTCATTCAACTGCTGTCTCACCAGAAGTGTGCCAGTGTCACTAGTCATAATCACAAAAAGAATTATTCATAGAAATATATCAGACAAATTTAGTATAGCAATTACTAACCTGAATAGGATATTTGGCAGTATCAGGATCAATAATACGGCAATCATGAATTAAATATATCATAAGGAAAGCAGCTGCAGCTGTAACAAAAGCAACTATAGCTGCTTCTATTATTTTCTGCCATGGCTTATTAACGTATCTGAAAAGAATAAATTTTGTACTAGCATCATCCACTTAATTATACATAATATTAGTGGAGTCAATTAGTAATCTTCCACTTTGTGGTTGAAAACAAAAGGCAAACTAGATGCAAAACTACAAGTAACAAAATTGTGATTGGAACAATTCATAACCTAACCAATAAATTGGAGATGAAAATAGGTAACATTTTGGTCAAGCCTACCCCGAAGATTTGATAATGGCCTAGGTTGGACTGAAGCATCCTGCACTCTCATCCTCTATTTCACTATTAGTTACAAAGTTGGCACAAAAATAACAGTGAAGAAGGTAAAGGAAAGCCTTTTCTCTAGCTTGTGCTGCAGCACCAGTGGATGCTTTCTTATTTTTTCCCGCACATCATCATTAACACCAGATATTTTAATAACATCCATTTACCTTGCATCCTTTGGCATATGCCATGCCAAAACCTTATGAACTAATATGAGATTTACTGAACATCAAGCAATGAAAACACCTTCTATATACCTCATCCTGAAAGCAGTCAACTTTAGATTGATATGATTGTACAAGGCTCCCAGCAGGCCTCCCATGACTCCCATCAGCAGAAAGGGAATAAATTCCCAAATTTCATAGGTCAGATCATCAAACTTCCCAAAGTTCAGGAGACCATTGTAAGCAAGCATACCTAAAAAATATATAATATATTACAGAAAGCAAGGAATGAAAAAAAAATTGAAGACTGTAGCAATTAGAAATGTGTAGAAGAGATTATTATGAATGTGGATGTAGGAAGATTGGAACAAGATAGACTGATAAAGAGGATGTATAAATCTAAGATGCAGGGAAGGTGGAGTATGGGGCATTTAAGGTAACACTAGGAGTTCGAAGCTTCAACATTCAGCTGAAATGGGCAACCACATTATTTTGAGTGAATGGTCTACTAAATTTTAACTAATGTTACAGTGTGAGCAAAAAAGTAACTATGCAGGGGCTCAGGGAAACTGGCTAGCTGGACTGAGTTTTGTATGCTCAGAAGTACAGTGCCAACATTTGAAAGAGGGATGGGAATTTTGTGCTTTCTTGGATAAACAGTGGACTGTGATGGAGGTGTTTTCTAAAAATGCAACTAAAGATCAAGAAATGATGTATGTATTTTCATTCATGGATTCTCTACCTGGGTGTGAAATGACCAATGACTAAGATACAAATTAATTAACATATGAAACTGCATACTGACTGAGTGCTGTTAATGAAATACTTGATATTACCTAAGTCATTGGAGATCTGATTGCTTGAGTACTGAAAATGGGAAGTACAATGCTTGCACTTTAAAGGAGGGGTTTAGGATGTTGGCAGTTTGGAGGGATATGTTATATATCTTTATATATGCTTCTAAACTGTTGTATCTGGGCACCTCTGCAAAGACAGTGATTATGTATGAGTGTTGAATGATGATGAAAGTATTTTCTTTTTGGGGATTTTCTTTCTTTTTGGGTCACCCTGTTTCAATGGGAGATGGCTGACTTCTTGAGAGAAAAAAAAAAATACTACTTTATAGTCATACAATGCTATTTACAAAACTTACAAAAATAAGGTAGTTTTAAGTTAATGAAAAATCCTATCAATGTATATTATAGAGGTTATACGTTAGAATGCATTGAAAAAATACAAATTTTAGAGATGCAAGGTGCACTTTTCAGGCATTATTTGTATGGTAACAACAAACTTCTGTGAGAAATTTCAGCCTATTTCAAGTCCATTTACCCTGCAGCATTGTGAATGACTTTTTGTCACATTATACACCACTGAAAGTAATTAGTTATAATTTATTGGTTGTCAGGATAATAATCAAGAGTACATGGTTTATATTATTTTTGGTTGTGAAGATTGTATAATCAAATGTAAATGGGTTATATCAATCATCAACTATTTAATTTTAAACTATTACAAGTTATAAGTGAAGTCTTTCTTGGTACAGAACTTGGGCATCACTTTCCTGGAAAATATTCTCTGCCTGATGTATCCATCTCTTGCCTTCTGTCCAGTGACTTCAGTACAAGCTTCAGTCATCAATTTTATCCATTTCTCAACAGCTTCGGTGTTGTTTGGCCACTTAGGCACCTCCAGTGGAATCTCAATAATTTTCAGAACCTGTTGATCTGATAGAAAAGCAATGAAGGGAGGCTCAGTTTTGAGTTCAGTCTTCAAGTCAATCATGGAATGATAGTTCTTTGCTTGCCACTTTAGTTTGGGAATCATTACTTTTCTTGAGCTGACAATAGGAGCCACATTGTCATTCTCTTCATCTTCACTGTCATCCTCATCATCAGTGTAGATTAAAAAATCCTCATCAACAGGATCATCAGAATCTTCTCCATCTTCATCAGAGCTCTCAGTACTTTCTTCTGTCTGCTGATTCTCTTCTCTAATTTTTCTCATCATGGAGACAGCTTTCTCTCTCACAGTCATGCCTTATCAGCACACATCCCAAACAGCAGCTGATCTGTGTGAGCAAAGAAGGAATTTCCTTGGACAGTCTTCTATACTATCTTTTCTTCACTGTTCAGATGTTTCATAAATTGCAGTGACTGGAAGACGTTCTTTGGACTGTGTGTGACATACGGGTGCAGCTTGATGTGGAACCACATTGGAGCACTGAATTTTAAAATCATAATGACGACTCTTTTCAGCTCCTGACTGGGTCTCAATGTTGCTAAATACAGCCTAAGGATCCTACTCCATAAAGTATTTCAGCTTAACACACATGGTGGACCTGGTTCAAGAGCAGCCAAGTCATCATCAACCACATATAAGAACATAAGAATGGAGGAACACTGCAGAAGGCATACTGGCCCATGCCTTGCATGGGCCAGTAGGCCCATGAAACTCCCGTACCCAATGACACCAATCAAACCCAGCCCCTCCCACTCATATATTTGTCCAATCTCTTCTTTAAGCTACCCAAGGTCCTAGCCTCTATCACCCAACTGGGAAGATCGTTCCACGCATCTACAACTCTGTTAGAAAACCAGTACTTACCTACATCCTTTCTAAATCTAAATTTATCCAACTTAAATCCATTATTTCTGGTTCTTACCTGGTTCGACACCCTCAGTACCTTATTAATATCTCTCTTGTTTATGCCTGTCATCCACTTATACACTTCAATGATATCTCCCCTCATTCTTCGTCTCTCCAGAGAGTGGAGATTTAAGGCTTTAAGTCTATTTTCATACAGGAGATTCCTTACACAGTAAATCATTTTAGTCTTTCTTCTCTGTATGTTCTCTAATGAGTCTATATCCATCCTGTAGTAAGGGGACCAAAACTGACCAGCATAATCTAAATGAGGCCTCACTAGTGATGCATAGAGCTGTAAAATAACTTTTGGACTTCTGTTACTTATACTTCTTGAGATAAATCCAAGTAATCTGTTAGCCTTGTTGCACACACTAAGGCACTGCTGTCTTGGCTTTAGATTTCTGCTTACCATGACCTTCAAGTATTTCACATTCTGTATGATCAAGCTCTACTTCACCTAGATTATAGCTTCGAGGGTTATTTTCATTACCAAGGACTACTACCTTACACTTATCCACATTGAACTTCATCTGCCATTTTTCAGACCAAGACATTAATTTGCCCAAATCCTCCTGGAGTTCACTGCTATCCTCCTCAGAATGAATTATACGGCCTATCTTTGTATCATTAACACCCCTCCTTCAGGAGGAGTGTTAATGTTGCAGTTTAAAAACTGTAGTGTAAAGCACCCTTCTGGCAAGACAGTGATGGAGTGAATGATGGTGAAAGTTTTTCTTTTTCGGGCCACCCTGCCTTGGTGGGAATCGGCCAGTGTGATAATAAAAAAAAAAAAAAAAAAAAAAAAAAAACTTTGTATCATCAGCAAATTTACTCGTCACTCGTAATCCCCTCATCAAGGTCATTAATGTAAATTATGAACAAGAGGGGGCCTAAAACTGATCCTTGGGGAATGCCACTAGTGACTAATCCCCATTCAGATTTCACCCCATTAATGGTAACTCTCTGCTTTCTATTGGTTAGCCATGCCTCTATCCATGCTAGAACTTTACCTCCTATTCCATGAGCTGCCACTTTTCTTAAGAGGCTCTTGTGAGGTACTCTATCGAAGGCTTTACTAAAATCCAAATAAACAATATCATATTCTTTATCACTGTCAACTGCCTCAAATGTTCTATTGAAGAACGTCAATACATTTGTCAGGCAGGAACGACCTCTCGTGAATCCATGCTGAGATTCATTTATCAAGTTATGCTCTTCAAGGTGACTTTTAATAATGTCAGCTATAATTGATTCTAATAACTTGCCCACTATAGATGTCAGGCTTATTGGACGGTAATTTGAAGGAACGGACATAGCCCCTGAGTAAAAACTGACAAAAAATAGTCATTAAATAAGGAACACATTTCCAGTTCGTTATCAGTCAGCTGTCCATTACCAATTTTCAGAGGTCATACTTTTTCCTTCACCTTCGTCTTATACACTTGAAAGAACCCCTTTGGATTAGTCTTTGATTCATTAGCAACTCTAATTTCATAGTCACGTTTAGCCTTTCTAATCCCCTTTTTTACTTCTTTTTTAAGCTGGACATATTGGTCAGTAAGGTTAGCCTCTCCTCTTCTTATGCGCCTATAAATTCCCCTTTTCTCCCCTAATAGATGCTTTAGCCTCCTGTTAATCCATTTGGGATCATTATTATTAGACCTAATTTCTCTCTGGGGAATGTATATACTCTGAGTACAGTGTACATTATTAAGAAAAAAATCATAAATGCAGATCCCTTCATAATCATAAGTATGATCATCATCAATAAAATCATTAGCTAGATAACCCCAATTGAGATTTGACAAGAGTTCCCTAAGTCCATTATAATCGGCAGAACGAATATTAAGAATTTTTACTGTATTATCATTATTCTTGTATTCCCAGTTAATGCTAAAAGTGATGGATTTGTGATCACTTGCCCTAAACTCTTCAGTGATCTCCAGATTATTTATGAGTGTTTCCTTATTTGACAAGACTAGGTATAGCAAATTATTACCCCTGGTAGGCTCTGTTACACACTGCTTCAGAAAACAGTCTTGAACTGTTTCCATAAAGTCACTGGACTCTAGATTACCGGTCAAAGAATTCCAGTCAATTTGACTAAAGTTAAAATCCCCTACTATCACTATGTTTTTGTGTCTAGAAGCCCTAACAATTTTGTCCCAAAGAAGTCTCCCTCTATCGTGATCCAAGCCTGGAGGTCGGTATATTACCCCTAGAGTAAGTTTTTCTTGACCTTCTACAAACTCTACCCAAACAGATTCTGTTACTGTTCCATCTATTTTTATACCTGTTTTATGCAAGTCAATTTTTTTCTCGAACATATAATGTAACTCCACCCCCTTTCCCATTACATCTATCCACTTGGAAGAGCTTAAACTCTTGAATATTATACTCAGCAATCATATCCCAACTCTTTAAATCATACCAGGTTTCAGTTAATGCAATGACATCAAAGTTCCCAGCACATGCTACCAAAAGTAGTTCATTAATCTTATTTCTTGCACTTCGACTGTTAGCATAAAATACCATCATATGTTATTTCTTCTGCACATTTTTCCTATTCATCTTTGTTTTTACACAATTGCTGAAATTATCATT